TGACACCCACCCCTTGGCGCTCATATGACCTTATGCAGTTGTGAGCGCCGTAAAACCCTCTACTATAAAAAAAGATAATTCCAGTGTTTGCTCAATACCTTATTGTAGTACCGAAACTCTTTTTCCTTTTTTTTTTGGGGGGGGGGGGCAACTTGAAATGAAAAACAATTTTATTTCGTTTCAGAAGTTCCGAACTTTCTCCATAAACGTACGATTGTGAACCAGAACTCAGACAGTATAGCTCAATATTTCTAGAAGTGTGTGCTCAGTTCTTTTTTTTTTTAGAGGGGCTAAGTAAGTCACAAGGACTTTGTTCGCTGGCTATCTCTGACTTTAGCTAATTGCATTTAGAACGCGAACCCAAAAAACATAATGTTTGTGAGGAAAAAAATGGCTTTGTTTGCTCTAGACTTAACTCATTTCCACATTCCGTGATCCGGGATATTGGAAGAGAATGAGTACGATGACATTGGGCGCGCCCAACATTTTGAAATATCAAAAAAAAAACAACCCTCAGCCATGGGATGTCATTTTGCAATCTGATATCATTCCCCTTGGCACGTTTTGACTGCCCAAGGCCCCCGAGTGATCACCCCGGTATTGTTCATGCTATATATTACTCTGTGATTTGCCAGACCCCTGTAGTCTAGCTCGGCTTCTGCATTATGGGTTGTATGCACGCGCATGCGCGTGTGTGTACCTTAGCTCTTGTTTTTCTCTGCGTCTAGCGCTCTTTGGTGGGGTCCTGTTGCCTTTTGACGCCAGTAAGCTTGGCTTGGCATTTGAATTTTGCAAGCGAAGCATTCCGGAAGTGGAATACGTGTCATGCATTTCCTGTGTCCTTTCCTTTGTCTTTGGCTTTCTCTTCTCGGCGTCTTCGATGTAATTGTAAGCTCTTTTCCTTGCTTGCAAAAGATAGCGTTTCGATTTCCACAGGGGAATGATATTTTTTTTCTGTTGGAAACCTATCTCCGTCTCTGTCCTGGGGTTTATCCCACACAGTTATGGTCTTTCCAACTGGAAGGGTTGTCACTGCCGGCTACAGAAAATGTCATTCTTATTATTGTATTATCATTAGGAGATGCGAAACACGAACAACAACAACCTACGTCCTCTTCTCAAACCACTAGGTTTCATGAACAACTTTCATAACGTTGCGTGTTGTACCTTGTTAGAAAATAAATGACCCCCAGAATGTCTTTAACATAAGATGTTGTTTTTTTTCGGGGGGGGGGTAAAATTTTGCTTCTTGTTTTTGTTATTTTCTCGTCGTTTGTTTGGTTTGTTTGTTCTCTTTCATTTTTAGATTTAAAATGATGGGGAGGGAGGGAAAAAGTGGTTGGCGCATCAGCCTGTTTTCTGTCTCTCGTATCAGTATCTTTGCCGTTATCATTAGGTTAAAGCTATGCAATTTTTATCATTTTTCTGATTCTGAGCACAGGCTCGGTTGTAAACCTCTGTTATTGTAAAATAACGCTATTTATAAGGGTTCTCATTGGGCATAAAAAAATAAGTACGTATGTGGAGTAGGGAAGGGAGGTAATTGTTGTGTTTATTTCCTCTATCAGCCTGACCTCTTACAGTCAGTGTCGTGCCACTCTTCATTATTCACGCCTGGTTCAATGACTTTGGTTAATTCGATTAATTTTTTACCGAATCACGTCTGGCCTGCTTCCA